CAGGAGCCAGTCACTTCAGGCCTTGATCAGGAAGTACGCAGTGAGTGTTAGAGATCGGAATCTTCACCGCCCCGAGCGAGTCTAGTCCCTCCGTGTATTCCGGGACTGACTAATTGTCGGCTAGGCCTCAGGGAACTGGGGGAGGAGTACTATCTCCGAGGGTACACCCGTTCCTAGTTATGACAACCTGCTCCACTCCGTACGATGCGCTGGTGAATTAAAAAGTATGAGTAATTTACAGGAAACAAACAAGAGTGGAAACGGGCTTCATGCCCAACAAGCAGCGATTGAAGCAAGTGCTGAAATGAAGAGAACGCAAGCGCTGGAGCGCCTTGAAAAGCTGACCAGTGAGTTGAATGACTTCGTCCAGTCGAAGGTCTACATCCACAAGGAGATAAAGTCCAAGACGACTAGTGTAGCTACCGCCCTTCAAAGGTTTGAGAAACTGGACGAAGATATGTGCTCATCATTGCTGCGCACTTCCCGTGCTACACAGGAGAAAACCTGTCAAGTTGACGTCATGACTGACGAAGCAATGGACACTGGAGCCGAAGGTGACGGTGAATCAATCGCAGAAGAGAAGGTTGAAACTGACAAACGGCCTGGAAAGAGAAAGGAACGAAATTCACCAGAGCCAAGCGACAAAGTAGCAAAGAAGAAGGACTTGAAAAGAAGCCCTCCTCAACGACTGGCAGAGCAGGGCAACGAACCTCAGAAGACGACGATTGACTGGGAAAAAGTACAGTCTAAGAAGGAGAAGAGTAGGCTAGCTAGAGAGCAACTCTCATAGCAGCCGCCGAAGGAGCCCAGGCCAGAGCCTAAGCGGAAAAAACCACGAAAGTGGATTAGGCCTGACGCTCTGATCATCCGTCAAGATCCAAGATCAAGATCCAAGATCAAGATCCAAGATCAATCCGAAAAGATCCACAAAACCAAAACCGGGAACATGCTGATTACGCTCTCAAAGAAGAGTATTGACAAAGGTCAAGCCTTGCAAAAGGCCATCACAGACGTTCTTCAAAAAGAAGCTGAAGTAATTTGCAAAGGACCGCAGGAGATGATCGAAATTCGAGACATTGATGATGACACGACGAAGGAGCACATTCAGACTGCCCTGAAAACGGAAACCGGAGAAACTTGCGAAATACCACTAGAGGCTATCAAGATCCGTAAGGCCTACAGAGGTACGCAAACGGCTACAGTGACATTACCAGCAGCTGCAGCACAACAGCTACTGGAAAGAAACGGCAAAATAAGGATTGGCTGGGTCAACTGCCGAATGAGAGCAACAAAGAAGCCGATACAATGCTTCAAATGCTGGCACTTTGGACACTTTGGATCTCAGTGCAAAGGTGAAATCGACCGATCCAAGCTCTGCATAAGATGCGGAAGAGAAGGACACAAGATTGCTGAGTGCAAAAATCCAGCCAAATGTGTATTACGCACTGACGATAAAAGTGCGCAGGACGCTGCCCACCATGCTGGCACATACAGACCCTGAAGACATCCCACCTGTCACAGAGGAGAAATTGATGGAGGCATGCGATCGTGTAGGGAATAATAAGGCGCCAGGATTGGATGGAATTACAAACATTGCTTTAAAAACATCCATTAAAGCAGCGCCGGCATTATTCATAGATACCTACAATGCGTGTCTCAAAGAAGGAGTCTTCCCTGAAAGGTGGAAGTGGCAAAGACTTGTACTGCTCCCGAAAGGAAAGAAGCCACCTGACGAACCATCATCCTACCGTCCACTCTGCATGTAAGACACGGCGGGTAAGATATTAGAGCGGATAATTCACCAAAGAATAGAAGCAGTAGTTGATCCACTCCTAGCAGAAAACCAATTTGGTTTCCGAAAAGGACGGTCAACCCTGGATGCAAAAACCTGGTCGTCAACACAGCTAAGGATGCGATTGCAGGAAAGAGATGGAATCGCGGCACAAAAAAGTATTGTTTGATGGCTGCATTAGACATCAAAAATGCTTTTAACTCTGCTAACTGGGACTGTGTAATACGCGCCCTTGAAGAGAAACGAGTCCCAGGGTATTTGCGTAGAATGATAGCAAGCTACTTCACAAACAGAGTCCTCAAATACGACACAAAAAGTGGTCCTAAGGAGTATGATATTACTGGTAGTGTACCACAGGGCTCAGTTCTAGGCCCTCTGCTATGGAACATCATGTATGATGGTCTCCTGAAAATAGCATTGACTGCAGAAGTGAAACTGGTAGCATATGCAGATAATGTTGCTGTGGTGATTGTCGCGAAACACCTTGAAGAGATAAATCTGGCCTTCAACATTACATTTAGATGGATTAACTTATCGATGGATACGGTGAACTTGCAACTAGCTAACCATAAAACCGAAGCAGTGCTCATTACCAGCAGGAAAGCGATAGAAACCATCAAGTTACAAGTTGGAAAACATGAGATCACATCACAACCGTACATTCGATACCTGGGAGTGATGCTTGATGCCCGACTCAACTTCAAGCAATAAGTCGAACATGTGACTACCAAAGCATCAGTAGTTAGAGCGAGCCTAGCACGACTGATGCCCAACGTTGGTGGACCAAAACAGAGCAGAAAACTACTGCTGTCATCAATAGTAACATCTTTGCTCATATATGGTGTATCCATTTGGGCTGACGCATTAGAAACGCAAAAATCTTAGAGAAAAGCGGGTCCAATCTACAGACAGAGCGCTCTGAGAGTTGCCAGTGCCTTCCGCACAAGATCAGAAGAAGCAGTGTGCGTCATTACTGGAACCCT